GGATTGTCTCAACTCAGAACGTGTTTCGTTCTCTACAGACTATGCAATAGGACTACAGCTGCTTCGATTTTGGATCTACTCATCGTGGTGGAATGGGGGCCGTTGTGCTGAAAATTCAAAACACAAACACACACACACACACACACACAGAGGTTCGAACAAGTCCGTTTCCATGCACTTCCTCTCGACCCGTTCACCACACTGTGCAGCGTACCAGACAAGGCAGCGTAATACACCTGTCGCTGCGGAGCAGTCCAGCTTATGTTTCCGTCTGAACGCGCCCTGAGCGTGCGTTCTCATTCAAAAGTGCGCATTCAATCCTCTCACACGCATGTTCGAATGCGTTCAGATGGCAAGCGGAGTAAACAAATTGAACGCTGTGTGTGTGTTTTGTGAATGTTCACCACAACATCCCCCGTTCCACCCAGATGACTAGGTCCAAAGTCGCAGCAACTTGACCTCTATTGTAGACGATGAAGTATGCTTGAGATGAATCAATCCACCAAGGAAACAGTGTTGCCTCCATAATCAGCAAGCAGAATCTGTGTGTGTGTGTGTGTGTGTGTGTGTGACACTGTGTGTGTGTGTGTGTGTGTGTGTGTGTGTGTGTGTGTGTGTGTGTGTGTGTGTGTGTGTGTGAACATCCCCAAACTCGTCTCTATCATTGCACCCTCAAACCATCACAAACCATCCATAAACAAAAAAAAGTAATAGATGAGCAATATAATAGAAGGTGCAATGTTCCCCACGTTTGCGTGGTTGAGTGGGAAGTGCCCACACACCCATCTGCCGCCGAAGCAGCACACTTGCACAAATTTATATCGTTTTTTCAATCTATAAAAACAAAGGTAAAGGGCACAAAACAACACACCTAACAGAGAAGGCTCCACCAGCAAGAAAGCACCGACCAGAGGCAGCTTAGTCCAGCCCTCCCAGTCAGCCCACAAGCACGGCAGCACTGCCACTTCTATTCCTCCCAAACAAGCCACTCACGTCACCACTATCTCTATCAATCCATAGCTAGACAGTCCCCATCTCCTAACTATCCTCTGGAGCGTATAGAGTACCATACACCCAAAGACCGCAAGATCTTCACGTGACACCAGGAGGGCTACTGCACAAAACACCCTGAACATCAACCGCTTCTTCCATGTGCTCCAAAAGAGCAGCCCATGGGAATGGCGCCCACAGCAAACACTCTCTGAGACTCCTCGCCCGGATACTGTGGCCAGAACTCCAAGCGTACATTCACAGAATCTCCAGACGACACCAGGAGCACTACTGCTTAAAACACCATGGAAGCACCACCATCTTGGATGCGGTCTAGAAGGGCAGCCGGTGGGAGTGACACCCACAGCAAAGAGTCTCTGAACCTCGTGAGGATACCATGACCATGCCTCCAAACAAACATTCCCGCCCAAAAAAATGGTGGCCTCCCATGCTTCTTCCATGTGCACACATACACACACACACATACACACAGACACACAGACACACACAGACACACGAAAGAACGGCCGATCGATTCCATCTATCTAATCAATCGAAATGACTCGATTTGATTTGATCAATTAGATCAAGGGAATCAATTCAATCGGATCGATTGAAACGATTCATGTGGGTGAGGTGCGCACATGGCCCTGCAGTTTCGCACGACCACACACACAACCACACCCACATACACACACACAGCGGCAGGTACACAGAGGTGCGTTTTTTTCCCCTTGTTTTTTTCTAATTTATTTTGTTTCCCTACTTTTCTTTTCAAAAAAACAGGGACGCAGGGAGTGTCCACACCCCTTCACGACCTCTGTGTGCCTGCCGACCC